GACCGATGGTTGAACCAGACGTATTTGTGCCCCATTTCTCCACAAATTTGACATATCTTAACTCAAATCTTGAGTCTGAAGTCCATTACACTTCCTTTATTCAAGGAGACATATACCATCCAAGCTTTTCCAACCCAAATGGCGAACAACAATTGTCTCGACAAATCATAGAGTTGACAAGCGCCCTTACGCAGCAGACAACCTTGGTGAATTAGCTCTTGCAGCTTACCAAAATGCAGCGTGCCCCAAACGAGGTGTCCTAAAGTAGGACAAAGGCAGACGACGAACCTCTCCAGTAGTATCCTGGCAAGTAGCCACTTGACTAGTCACGAGCTGAGCATTCTGACAGTGTACACTTCCGACTGGGCCCCTAAAATAACCTATACTCTTATCTTAGTTCGCGAATGAGCGTGCACTCTCAGTTAGGTCCATGGATGAATAGACATTCATGGTTAGGGCCACACTCCGACAATCAACAATAAGCAACCTTCCAAGTGAAGTGTTCATTTGCGGCTAGGCCCGCAAGGAACATTTTCCACCTCACATCGAAGTACGCAACATGACGGACGAAGAGAAGTAGTCACTCAATCCCGCTCAAGTTCAATCGGCAACCTGTGAGTAATTCACTCACCTGCCAGTAACGTACCACGTGCGCCGTAGCCATGGCACAGACGAGCCGAGCACAAGGAAGAGCAGCCTAAACTAACAGGTCACTACTGGGGACAGCCGAGAAATCCATTACCCCAACAAAGGCATATTCAAGAAGAAGTAGAGAGGATCGTGATCGAACGATCGGGTGATTTCCAACGCAACAAAGCTATTAACGAGACACTCCGACAAGATATGACCAACATAAGTTGGTCACCTTTTATTGACAAGATCGAGCAGACATAACTATCCCACATATGTTATCAGATACAAAGATTACTTCTATTCCGACAAACGCAGCAGCTCAGCCTAACGTTGCGCTGGGGGCAGACGAGTACCAAAATGACACACAGCCCAGCTACCAAGAGTCGGGGGTAGGCTTTGTTCTCAATACTCCAGACGATTCAATACTGAAGCAGCACATCACCAATAGCCGAGCATCACAGACCTAGTGGTCTAAAGCCTTATGCTACGCAAACCGTGGCCCATGCCACGTCACTTCCTCGACCCATGCCAAGCCAGTCATTGTCTTCAGTCAAGCTAAGCAGCATAAGCAATGGCCCCTGTCACACCACCTCCTTGGCCTAATTTCAAGCTGACTCCTAGCCCTTGCTAGGTGATGTGTTGCACCATCTTGACGGTTGTCCCGCGGCAGCACCACCCAAGAAGAAGACAATGAGAATTAAGTTTTTCTTACATCGGTGTGGCGCGGAGAATACAAAGAAATCAACGGAAGATGATTTTTTTTGCATGGGCAAGCAAAGAAGAGTGCTAGGGAAGGGGGAACAAATAGCCTCTAGTTTTCTCTCTTGTAGGGACAAATAATTGCCCTTCGAAGTTGATTTAATCCCCTACTTAAGGTAGGCTTAAAAAGGCTTTGGATGTGATTGATTTCCCTTTCCTAGAATAATTTAATTCCAAGTCCAAGTGAGAATTTGTATCAAAGTTGGAGATCTCTACACCTGTTGCCCTTTCCTACGAGCAGCCCAGCAGGTGTGGAGGCATTTGTGGAGTAAAAAATAATCAAGAAAATTATGGAGGCGACACGTGTACTTTTGAGTGAAAAAGGATAAATTACCCTCGAGGCACACCGAAACTTCTACACGCAAGCAATGGACAATCATAGCACAATCAAGGTCAAAAGTGATCAAAATAGGTATTTATTCAAAACATATTTCATCCATCCTCATCAAATCCTCCCCACAAGGTAACCTTCAATTATTCATTCAAAATAGGATTAATTACCTAAATTAATTGATTAATTTCCTAATTGATTGCAAGATATTATTTTGACATAATATCTTGCAATTACACCTAAAAAACACCATATGTGGCTGGTTCCCATCTCTCCAAAAGGGGTCGGCCACACCCCTATAAATATCACCTCATTTCTCCAAAAACCTAAGTCTAATTCTCCTGCAAAACTCTCCAAATTTCTCTAAACACTTTCTCCCTCAAATTCTAACTTTGGCATCGGAGGTTTCTCGGACAAGGGCCCATTGTAGGTGCATTTTCGTCCAAGAAGATGAAGACGGAAATTTGCATCCACACTAGTCATACAATCATTTTGCAGCCAGGAGGATCCTTTAATCATATTAGTTCATCGTACATCGTACGGTAAAAAATTATTGTAAATTTTTTATTTAAAATTGAATATAAACAGTATTTGACAAAAACTAGCTGCACAATGTACAATGAATGGATGTGATTGGAAGATCTCTAAGACTTTCACAAAGAGGATTTGGCGAGGATCCTCTCTCATTTTGCACCACATCTGAATATCAGACAATGTGACAACCTATCCCAAATTTTATGGTTTTATAAATTTTTAAAGGTCATTATTCATTATCCTATTCATTTATTATGGTTATTGTTATTTTTACTAATGGAGGAGTTGGAAAAATTGGGGAAAAATAAAAAGAAAAAAGGAAGAAGAGGAAAGCTGCCTGATGGCAGTGGAATGGAGAAGGAGAAAAAGAGATGGGCACTGCCTAATCAGGAAATGAGGAGAGTGAGGGTGACAAATGGGAGAGAAGAACCAGGAGGGAAAGGAGGGAGGCGAGGAGCACCCAACCAATCTACCCGTGCGCCCAAAACAACCCGGTTTCGACCCGGTTCCAATTCCGGCTAAATCCCACCATTTTTCCGACGAAAGTCATTCATCCTTCACCTAGAAATTATCCCTAGACCTCCCCTCTTCCATATTCATCCAAAATTTGAAGGAATTTGGTGGAAGTTTGGTGGAAAAACCACCATGGGTGCCGCGGTAAGGATTGCTCGAAATCCACTAAACCTGAAACAATTTCATTCAATTACCACTACCAAAACACTTCCCTAGAACTCAAGAACAAAGCCTAAGCAGTGGTGGAGGCGTTGGAACAAGTATGAAGGTCGAATCGAAGCACACCAAATTCTAGGGTCCGCACGGATTTTGGTGAAATTGAGATGTTTCCAAGCCAAATTGGCTTTGGTCACAGGCGCCAATCGTTTGTGACACCTCAATGGTTGTGCTAGGAAGTTGTAGCATGGACTCCAGGTGAGTGGACCTTTCCTTGCTCATCTTATGTTTCATGATTGATAATTCTATAAATGCTTTTAAATAAAACTGAGAACTTATGCCATGACATATATATATTTATATGTTATAAAATACTATGAGATGGTTGAGTTAGATTTCATTGTGATCTATCCATATGCGTATTACTATAAATGATTGTTGTGAAATACGAATGGCTTGATCCCTGTTTAGGGTACATAGGCAGTCTAACGAGACGTTGGATGCAACCATATAAGAAATGAGATTAAATAACCGAGACTATAGCCTTGTTTAAGGAATTGAGCAATTTGTGTGGGCTTTTGGTTTTCAGTATATACTTAAATACTTGATATTTTCCCAGAAAATGCATTTAAATGAAAGTATGCCTTGAATACCATGCATAGAGATTTATATTTTTGTATATGATATAGTGTATGATGCATAATATATAATTGTGTTGCTGTGAACGCTTTGAAGTGCAAAGGTGAACGTAGGACATTCAGGTAAGTTCAAGTAAGTTCAGGTAAGTTCAGGTAAGTTTAAGTACATTCAAGTAAGTATATGGTATTAGCATGATTGATGAAATATGTGATGAGATATGAATATGTCGTATAGGTCACTAGAAGTGACTCCGACTTATATGCTAGCCATGATTGATGAGATATGAATATGTCGTATAGATCACTAGAGCTGACTCCGACTTATATGCTAGCCATGATTGATGACATATGTGATGAGATATGAATATGTCGTATAGGTCACTAGAAGTGACTCCGGCTTATATGCTAGCCATGATTGATGAGATATGTGACGAGATATGAATATGTCGTATAGGTCACTAGAGGTGACTCCGACTTACATGCTAGCCATGATTGATGAGATATGTGATGAGATATGAATATGTCGTATAGGTCACTAAAGGTGACTCCGACTAGCCATGATTGATGAGATATGTGATGAGATATGAATATGTCGTATAGGTCACTAGAGGTGACCTCAACTTATATGCTAGCCATGATTGAAGAGATATGTGATGAGATATGAATATGTCATATAGGTCACTAGAAGTGACTCCGACTATTATATGTTAACCATGATTGATGAGATATGTGATGAGATATGAATATGTCGTATAGGTCACTAGAGGTGACTTCAACTTATATGCCAGCCATGATTGATGAGATATGTGACGAGATATGAATATGTCGTATAGGTCGCTAGAGGTGACTCCAACTTACATGCTAGCCATGATTGATGAGATATGTGATGAGATATGAATATGTTGTATAGGTCACTAGAGGTGGCTCCGACTTGCGTACTATTATGAGATACTAATCGCATGATTATTTGATATTATTGTTGATGTTGTGTTGTGGTACATTATGATTTGTCTGGAAATTATATAGGTGTTGTAACGAGGAATTACATGTGTTATATGTTTCCTATTAGTAATTTACTTACATGGCCATTCACACTTGTCTTGTCTTCACCCTCAAGGTATTATTAGCTGAGTTCTATTATCACGAAAGACTCGCGGTGATTCTTAGTATCGGAGACTATTTCGAGGGTACGATTCTTATATCATTTTTCTGTACTTGCTTATGCTTTAACATCACATGTGAAGTGGGTTCATTCCCGCTCACCAGTGCACTCTGGTATTTAGGCACTCTTAGGTTTAAATTTATTCACAATTTTCCACATCATCACACTTTATGGCTTCGTCACCTTCCAGGTATCGGCCAACACAGCTCGAATCGGAGTCCTAGTAGACATTTCGGGTCGGGGTGTGTAAAACGATGTGACAAATGTAAACATATTATATTAATTAATAATTTTATCTTATTTAATATTAATTTAGTACATCATGTATCATATATATTATATGATAAAAAATTGTGATAAGTCTATTACTCGTATAATACATGACGTGACTATCATGATAACCAATTGATTCTGCTCATATTTAGCAAGTGGGAGAGCAATAACAATGGGAAACATTATTGTACATTAAAAAATGTGGTGAGAAACTCTCTTCTGATAGGAGTTGAGATATCATCAGTTATTTGTGCTCCCTGTTCTTCTGTCAAAGACCTGGATCTCTCGAAGATTAAGTGGTTGTACTGGCCTTGCATTCATCTCTGCATACTGATCCAAAAAAGAAACCAAAAAGAAAATCAGATATATATGTGAAACTTGGCTAAGCACATACGATTAATTCATTTATTATCTAACAGTCAGATCTGCAAAGATACGATATTTTTGGGTTGGGGAGGGCTTTCCGAAAAACAGTAGAGATGTGGAAACACTTACATCATGCACAGCGACTCGAAATAGCTTTACTTGATCCCTTGAGACTGTTCTTATCTGTTGGAAATATGTAAAATGAATTTGGTAAAGAGCCACATACTAAATTGACTGTTCATATCTGTTGGAAATATGTAAAATGAATCTGGTAAATAGCCACATACTAGATTGATGGTCCAAATTAAAAAGGAAGCTTCGTATATGAACTTTATATGAATATTGAGGGTTTTATTAAGGAGGACCAGTTAATTAATCACCTTTTTATTGATGGTCCAAATAACGCCTTCAGTGCAAGGAGGAACAGTGAGTGAGCCCATGTATCTGTAATAGTTTTTCTTACGGATTTTAATTTCTCGGGGATCAATTGTCCCTATGTTTCTCTCTTCCGTCTGATCCATCATTGACTTTACATGCCCTGTCAACTGAAATCAATCCACAACTAGCAACATGTTAGGACAAATGTACTTTTCAATTTTCATAACCTACAACAGTTATGTTGAGATTTGGACGAACATTCAAGCAAAAAAAATTTACCAGCATTTACAATCTGACAACATATGTATTCATGTTTATTGCAAAATGAGCAATAGAGAATTTGATTTTTGATCTATGGAGTACGTATGTACCTTAGAAAGGAAAGAGTCAGGGCGACCAATCTTGTATAGGACGCCAACAACAGCGATCTTGTTTGTGACATTGGGATCGGAGCTTAGATGAACCATGTGGAGCTCCATGTCGTACCTCCTGCCATTGACGGAGTGCTCGGAAGGGGAGTGCCAGTGAGATTGTTTTAGCAAATACTGAGTACCATTTATATGAATTGATCCAGCGTTGCCCTCCCAGTAAATCGAAATATCGTGGCCTCTATTCTTTACGGTAGCATTACAAGGATTGTAAGAGATGTTGAGCTTGCCCAAGTTTGGGACTAACGTGACCCTGTGACTCGATAAATCAATAGGAGATTGCATGCCTCCATTCTTACAGGCTGACCATTCTTTCTTAATCGCTCCCCACTGCTTCGGTCCCTTTCCACTTCCCTGAAGATAATCGAACTCTCGTTCATCTTCTGCAATACCAATATGAGTGTATCCACTTGTGAATAAACTTGAGACGAAAGAAAGAAAGAAACAAACGGAACAAGAACATATAGGTATGTACTGTAATTTGTTGTGCTTACCAACTTCTTGAGCTGTGATCGATGTTGCGGAACATAAAAAGAATACTAAACAGAAAAAGTATATGGGTTTGCTTTGATGCGACTTCTTCATGTTTATGTTTGTATCAAAGAGCGACGGATCAGAGATAAGTGGTAATTGCAGTAAACCTCTGCCCTTTCCGGTGAGGTTTCTATGTATTGCAGAATCGGAAAAATACTTGGACTAGTTAGTATAATGTTACAGTGGAGGAGGTCAGGCGATCAGAGCTACAAAATTATGCAGATGGGTTTTAGTTTAATTAGTGCATGTATTTATATATAAACATATATATATGGATGAGAAAAACAGATATGTAAAGCGCGTACTATGACATAATACCTGTTTCTGTGTTTCTCGCCCGCGTATGAACGCTGCCCTCGGATGTCAATAAAGAATGAACAAGGACACGTTGTTTACCACAATAATGGACATAGACATCGGTGTTTTTGGTCACTTTCTACTTGGACTAATTATTCAAAGGAATTTCACCCTTTTAGTTTAGACTAGCAATCGTTTGATCCTTGTTTCTTAGAAATCAACAAAAATAATTCATAAACTAAAATGTTTCTTTTTTTTAGGATCATAAAGTAAAATGTAATTATGCTATTGTTTTTTGGTCTAACTTGTTGGATAAACGTCAACAATCTGTGATAAATTTATATATGCTAATAAATAATAAATGTAAACAACTAATTAACATGAACAATGAAATAATATTAAATAGAGATATTGAAGATCGAGGCTTGCGTACCGCAATGTCATTGAAACAGAAATTTCGTCCCTACTCAGTGCTTGTAGTTCTACGGACGTTTGCTTAACCAGGATTCAATGATCAAGTTTGAATTCCAGCACCGGAAAACTGACTTCTGGCGAATTTATGTGTGGTTCTCTCAATAAGAAGGTTTATGAATGTAGAAGAAGAATTTGATATTTTATGTGTTCTAAATGCCATGCAAATGGATGTATACATAGTGGGATTATGCATGTTCGCAACAGGTATGAGAATGGGCTATGACTGTTGGGAGACATCTCTTCAGACGGGTGCTGTGCTCTCTGCGTTTTTTCATTGACTTAGATGAGTCTGTTAAAAAAAAAATTTAATTGAATTCGAAATTAATTAAAGAATTTAATTATCAACTAATTAGTACACCCCAAACCCAACCTCAAGGTTGAGTCCAATTTCATTCTCAATGATCCATTACTCCAATCACTATGTATAAGAAACAAAGCCTTATAAAGTGAAGAAACCTTTTAGAAATGACTAATGTGAGACAATAAAATTTCTACTCAAAATTTCCAATATGACTAACCATCAAGTTATCACTATTTTAGTACTACCAATCAGTGACGATGTTTTTAGCTCACATAAATGCTTCATTGGTGTCATGTGAGTCATTTTTCATACATACTGGATTGAGGTTGATTTTGAGAAAAAATAAACGTGGCATATGCGATGAATGATAATAGAGTAGAGAGATATTTTGACTTTAGAATGTTTGTAATTGGTGGACGGTCCTATTAAATAAAATCTTTCACTTCAATCAACTGCGCCTTCATTTTATTTTATTTTTTATTTTATTTTTTATTTTATAATAATGTAGATATTAGATTAGAATACTGCCGTGCATGTGGGCATAAGTTGATGGGTTAGTCAGGGAGTTGGAACAAATGGACAGAAACAAAAGGCCTCACCAAGGTGTCGTGGCACACTAGCAATGTTGACTTTTGTTAGACCTAGATTAACAACAGTGTTGGACAGGGGCACATTAATTCGTAACGAGAAAAGGAGCTTTTAGAATCAGATGAACACCTGAAAGTAACTAGAAACTTCCGACCTTCTATCAGTCATCGTTTTCTTTCTTTCATTTTATACAATCATTGTCCCTGACCACGGTCAGTTTTTCTCTCAATCATCGGACAGTCGATGATCGTTTATTCTACTATTAAGTCACTTATTTTTTAGGATGAAAATCAAATCTCATATCATGAATTTAAATTAATAGTTAAAAATAATATATGTTCTTTATGCTACGAACAACTATAAAGCAAATTGTGATATAGTTGTCAGTTTTAAAATTTTGTAGGATTTGTGTGAAAATTTATTTTCCACGAGCACCAAGAAATTGTTCAGAAACACATCCAGGAGTTTTCTAAAAGCAAAATTAGTTTTATCATATTTTATGCATAAGACTTAGAAAAAGAAAATCGGTTCACACGTTTTCCTGGTTGTTAGCAACCTGCAAGTTGTAATTGTCCAAGATAAGTTCTACCAAACCTTTGAAAAAATTTGTATACATAGAAAAAACCATCAACCTGTGGCGGTGGACAAATTCTTTGGTCTGGAGACCATACCAAGTGGCCATACGGCCCTCACACACACAAAATCGTCGCCACCCTACTCCTAATTTTTCTATGTTCATTCAGCCCTATTTGTGTCTTACCCCTCACACACAACACATGGACCCATCAACAATGGTGGCCACACTTAAGACCTTCTCGTGACTGTGAGGTTGGAGGAAAGGAAAAACTACATCTAAGCTAAGCAACCCAATTACGTGCACTGAGCTATCGTATAATTGGATACAGACATCCGATTACGTGGAGTTATATATCCTCTTCCGCATTGCTACTCCGACAACCAAATAGTAGGCATTATTTTGGGGGGAAAAGAAAACAAATAGTAGGTAGTTTTTTCTTTTTCTTTTTTGGGGTGAAAGTAGTAGGTAGTTTTTGATACGCGCCAGCAAGGACTTTTTTATTATTTAATTAGTTGATAGTTGAATTTGCCAAACCAACAAGTATAATTTATACAGGAGCTTGTAAATTTGCTTGATATAAAGGATTAGGTTCCCTCTATTTAGTAGTGGACTCATGAAAGTTCTAGGATGAGTACTAGTTTAACCTAGAGGGGGGTGAATAGGTTTCAATTTAAAAATCCAATTCAATTTTCAATTTAATTTTCAATTCTCAAATTAAATCCACATTCACATCACATATCAAACTATCATACTCATATGCAATTAAAACGATAAATAAAAAGTGCACACATGATGTAGGATTTAACGAGGCAAAACCCAACACTGGGAAAATCCTCGGGCTTCCAAGCCAGGACAAACACTAAGAGAAATAAGTACAGAAAGACTTACAAAACTCATCAACTAGACACGCATACTAGTAGGCAGTTTTGTCTCCGCGCTTTGCTACTCGATCTCTCTTCAGTCTTCGAGTTGAAGTGGCACGACACTAACGCGATCGTCAATCACCTTTTCCTCGAACTTTGCAAGATACTAACTCGATCATGCAGAATGTTTATACGATGAAGTGTTTATTTGAAAAACAATCAATTATGAAAATCACAAGGCACATTTTCATAATTGACATTCAATTAAAACCTTAAATGAAAAACAGCATGAAAATAATATTTTCTCTTTAAACCGCATGCTGTTGAAACCACAAGATAGCAGCAATATCAAAAATATTTTTCCTTATTCAAAACACCAAGCTGCTGCCTCTAAATATTTTATCAAAGAAACCAGGTTATATGCATATGCGGCTTCACTTAAACAAATCCCTGACCTCTCTTATATAACTCACGGCACCGCACCAAATAAATTGATAAGGACAACAAACCATTTAGATAACTCCCATGCAATCCATTTAGTTGGATGCAATCAGATAAGTCTTTTGAAAACATGATTTAATAATTAATATAGATGGGATAAGTCATTCTAAAAAGATAAAACACACAATGAGTAAAAGTCCTATCCCAAATACAATACCATGTGATATAGATGTAGTTGGATGCATGCATGCAAACATACCTGAGTGGATGTCTCTGAAACGCTTGCCAGTTTTATGATAGAGAGCCAAGAAACAAACTTAGACTAAAATAATTACAACGGAAAATATGTACTAGTCTAAGATTACAGACTCAGACGTTTTGTTTAGGAATAGCCAATTTTACCCTAACAACTCAACATGGGTTATTGGTTGTTCATGACTCTAATAGTTTCATGATCTCAATGTATATTAACTAAAAGAATAAGTAAAAATACTAAATTATTCAACGTGCTATTTCTTTTGTGTAACCCTATGTATAGTTATTTGTAAATTTACTTATTTCTCTTCTTTTGTCTTTCTTCCCTTATTTCTTGTGTGTGACCTTATGGTCCCCATGTTGCGTTTGATAATATGTCTCGCTCGACAAGCCTTGGCAGAAATCGACAAGACACTCTACCTCCGTAGGTACGAATTAGGAGCTCGACCAATGAAGTTTTTTGGCCGAAATTATGATTATCATTGTAAACTTTTGACGATCGAACAAAATATATGTTGAGCGCTTCAATAATCTTTTACGAGGTCTTAATGTATAGTTATGTTTGTCTAATCTCTAATACCCTCAAAATAAATTGACAAAATTGTTAAAAAAATCAATTCTAGGAACTTACACAAAAAGGGATGTAATCGGAATCTAGGCATATCTCGCTACACAAAAAGAAGAATCGAGCTTCTCTACAATTGAGCTAGTAAGAGTACAACACATATGAGTACACGAGCGTCTACCTGTGCACAACTAGCATCTACTAGCATATCTAACCTCTATTAAAAATATTGCATCACATGCAAATATCCTATGGCCGCATATATCTATACTCGATATATAACAGACCATGCGGTGAAAATAAATTACCAACATAAGTAAATCATTTATATGGTCATCTAACCAATTTCTATTTAAGTCTCATCCAAGAATACTTAAAAGCATTTAATTTCATCAATAGTGTAAAAAAAAAGCAGGTGAGTTTTGAAGGGGATCCACTTACAGAAATTATGTGTGTTTCTCTTTGCCTTTGCCTAGGCTACTCAAGCGCACCTGTAAAACATTAATTTAGTACCAATATGAAAAAAATTTCATTATGACAGAAATACGGATGATACACTACGTATTTTTACGTAAGTGGTAGGAAATTTTATTTTTTAAGTTATTAATTTTTTAATACACACATCCCATCATTTGTATAATGACACGTAGTGTACCACCTTATGTGTCAGTCACATTGAAAAATCTCTCGTACCAATACTAAGTAAATTCTAAGGTTCACTAAAACTTTAACTCAAATGTGATAAACGAAGTGCAGACGTGATTCGTGACATTGAATAACCTTGGGTTAGGTCTCGGGTCCTCACGCATCACTTCACGCACTACTGCACACGCCGCCATCGTCATTGACATCGCCGGCATACGGGCTGCCGTACTCACCGCCGCCGATCGGCGAGTACACGTTGAAGTGGCCGAGGCCACGCTCCGGTCGTCGGTTTACAGATTGAAGGTTAACAGAATATAACCTTGCCAGTAGAGATCCGTTATATCTAACGAAATCCATCGTCGTTACCGTTAAATAACGGAGAGCGTCGTGATCGCTGTGTTTCGCCGCCGAAGGTTTGCCAGATTCTGCATAAAACCCAGATTGCAGAGCTTCAATTTCATTCGAATTTCATGGATTTTTCATCCAAACTCAAACAAAATCATGAAAATAAGTATATTAATTACCTAAGTCTGACTTTGAATGATTCGGGGTCGAATCACCTCGGATTCGACAATCATCGGAGAATTCCACCAGTTTCTGGAAATGCGAAGAACATTGCATGCAGAGGTAAGAAACTATGATTTTCAGTTCAAAACTTCACAAGAATGCTCATAAAACTCATCAAAGTCCAATCCACTAAGAATTAGACCGTGATTGGCTTCGAGCTCGACGGAACTCAACCAGAGTCCGTCACCGGAAACTGGTAAACTTACAAAGAGGTTAAAACCTCAATTTCAAGCTCAAATTCAGCAGGAAGCTAGAGAACACTACTAGCAATGGGATGAAATAAAATTCAAGCTAAACTTACCGAGTTTCACCTCGAACTCATCGAAAACTTTCACCGAGAACCTAAGCTTGAGTTCTCTTCCTTCCCATCGCTGGATTGCACATGCAATCCACCCATTCGATTCCTAGGCTGCTCAAGTAGAAATTACAATTTTGCCCTTCAAACTTCAAAAATTATAACTTGATCTTCGTGACTCTGAATTCGATTTTGCTTTTGCCAATATACTCGTGAGAACAAAAACCAATTCAATAAAATAAGAAAACATGAGAAATTGAAATTAAACTCAGAGGTTCATAGTTATCCAAGACACCCACACTAGGGTATGTTGGTCATTTCACACTTATCGAGAATAAAATATATTATTTTAAGGTACAGGTTATAACAACACACTACCATCAAGAGTGCCTTATAACTAAGTTCCTAATGATCATTAAGATACGGGTCATCCACATTATTTTGGTGTATGGTTACCCCCAAAGGGAATTTCGAGTCTTTTCCTTGGTATTTACAAACTTTGGGTAGTTTAATGATTAGTATAGTGTTTTTCCATATAGAAGAGATTTATCCTGAGGATTACAAGGGGCAAGCAAGGCAAGACAGTTATGACCCAACTACGTAACAATGGGGCAAGCAAGGCAAGACAGTTATGACCCAACTACGTAACAATGAGTGGGCTTTGTTTTTCAAGCGTGTATATATGTGTGTGTGTGTGTTATTTGATGATGTTCATAATTATGAAATTATGGTGGCATGATCACACATATTTTATTTGCTCATCATGCATTCTTGCATCGGTGTCTATAATACTCGTTCGAATCAGGACTAGCTTCACGTGTATGTTCACATTGCACCGTTAAGCTCACCTTGGATATATTGTGGGTGTCAACATGTACTAGTTGCACTTTACTTCTAGGACTTGTATGCAATGTGCTAAGACCCAGGTTCATGTGTATGTAGTACAAGAGCGTAGTATATTATACCCAGCCTATTCATGTAGCTAATTTTTGCATGGATTTATGTGTTTGTATATGTTGATGAGCACACTATACTATATTGTTGAGATATTGTGGTTTACCATATACTTGAAATATTGTCGTGTACGGTACTTGGTTTTCATACTTAGCTGTAGTCCAATTTTAGAATTATATGGGTTTTATGGCCAAGGTTATTATATTGCGAAAAACAAAGAATTTATTAAATCCTTATTTTTTCCTACTCACACTTTCTATTTTGTGCCCCTCCAGGACTTAGTAGATAGATTTTATGGCGAGTCAGGGATTACCGGAAGATTCTGGCCTCCACTTCTAACAAAGTAGGAATTTGTTTTCTATTAGTCGTGTAATATCCATCATTATAAGGAGAAGAATAGTCTTAACTTTACTACACTATTATCTATAGTCTGACACTCAATGCATTTGTAATAGGGTTCATCCCGCACTGTGCATTCTCACTCTTAGTTTAATTTAACTTTAGACTTCGATTTTGATTTATTCACACTTTTTACACACTAATTGCGTTTATGGCATCATCACTCTTCGGATGTTGGCCATCACGTCTTGATTTTAAGCAGTTTTTTAAGAACAAGTACTTATCTCTAGAGTATAAGGCAATGAAAGGGGATGAGTTCACAAGTCTGAAATAGGGGAAGATGTCAGTCACAGAGTACGACTGAAATTCATTGACCTATTCGGTTATTGTCCTGCCATTGCTACCAATCCCTTTGAGATTCACTATCAGTTTAAAAAGGGAACCCGCAAGAGACTTTGTTCCTTTGGCAGCATTTGCATGATGTAACACTTATCAAGAGTTCTATGAGCCTCTGTTGCTTTTCGAGGACTCTAAAATGCCCCTCATGACAATGATGTTGATGAGGGTGCTAATACTTAGCAGAGAAACAGTGGGGGACAATCATATTTTGGTCTATGAAGAAGCCAAAATTTGTAGAGGAGGTAACAGTTCGGGACTTTCTAATGGAGGTTATAACCCCGATACAATCCGAGCAGTAGGTAAGTCTATTGGCAGTTCCTGTTTCCATAATCAGAGGGATTCAAACAGTTCTGGTGCTTAGTTATACCATAGGTGTAACAGTCTAACCAACAACAAGTGTAAGCAGATGAGCAACAAATGCTACACTTGTTGTCAGTATGGACACAGAGCTAGCCAGTGTCCCCGAAACCAATAAAACTAGCTTACACAAGTAATCAATCAGCAGCCGAATATACTTCTGAGACCAAACCCATACCAACAGCTAGGGTACGTATATGCCTTCTACACCAGGGCGATACTATTTAGTATCCATGAGGTGCTTATCAGTTTTCGGTTGACATCACGTAGTATCAAGGTGGTTATGCCTAGTGGTATAGAGGTGGGCAATACCATACTATTGATGTAGCATTCGGTAGTGTGGGATGATAGCAGACACACGGCCATGTCAACAACATCACCATCCTGGATGAATAGTATAACCTTGACTTAATCATGGGTACGTTAAACATTCTAGGCCTCTTTGCTAAACTCTTAATTGATTTGGGTTCCACCCACTCGGTCATATCCCATTTGTTTGCTCAAAAAATTCAGCCATACTCTACTCATAGAAGTGAAGTTTGCCACGTCTAATGGGAGTACCAAGTAGACCTGACATTCGTGTCGTGTTTTTCGTGTTCATGTCATACCCGATATCTTAACAGGTCGTGTCGTGTAACACTCGTTAAAGTAAACGGGTAACATGATCCGACCTGAAATCAACCAGTTAATATTATCAGGTAATATGACTCGACCTATTACCCGTTAAAGAAAGTAAGTTTTAAATCAGTAAATAATCAAAATGAAAAACAAAATGGGACCCAAAAAAAAATATAATACTAAATTAGTATATGATACTACATTGTCACATAAATATTACTTCAAAACATAAAAAATTAAAAAAAGTTAAAAAATCGTCTTTCAAGTATTACATACTCCAAAATAAGAGCCTAACGAAAAAAAACATTAGTACATTACTATAAAATACCAAATATTGAAAGATACGCAAAATGAATAGAGTTGCATTTCAAGGTTTAGGAACCTTGCTGTTGGAGGTATACCCACAAAGCCACTCATTTGATGTAATAGCTTTTGGAATACTTATTGTATTAAACTATTATATGTTTAATAAAGGGCAAAGCTTATTGTTAATCACTATTTATTATATCATGTGTTTAAGCAATAAGGGAATCCAAGGAATGTATTTGATCTAAGAGATAAGTGATTTAAGTAAGTTAGATTAATGAGACCTTTCTCTTATGTTCATTCCTAAAACGTTCCTAGCCATAGGATTGCCAATTGGGCATTGACAATCCGCTAAGGTTAGTACGTGTTATGTCAACTCAAGCATGAGTATGACTAGTCTCAAGTCATTTAGTGTTGGACACTAAGACAAACACATAGGTGCTCAAAAAAGTAATCGAGTACACTGAACAACGATCAAAAGAGAGTTCGAACATACATGTCATGCAAGAACTCATTAGTTGCAATATGCAAAGTAGTCGTTTGACCTGAGACATCATAGATGTCTAATGGTTAGGTCCTTGATTTTTTGATCATGTCAAAGGCATTCCATCGAGAGTGTCCATGACATTGTTGGGGTCAAGCTATCTAGTCATGTAGGCATATGAATGCACAACAAGGGATCTTTAACCTTCCATGTTGGAAGGAGAATACTCTAAGATATGATTCGGGAGTCTTTGGCCAAAGCATACGAATATGACTTAGGAAGTATGTTCCAAATCATATTCAATTGAATCATATAAAGAAGTATCACATTGGATAGTAGACATGAAACAAACTATCACTCAAACAATATGATTAAGAGTATTGTATTAGAGAATGACCGTATTGCATTGTAATTGTAACTGGATAGGTTCTCCAACCACTTCTACTTAGCTTGGGTAGCCATGACATACTGCTAGGTGTCACTCATGGTTTGTGGAAGCCCTGAAGATTAGCAAACACTAATCTTTAACAAAGGGAGAATTGAAATGTTGTTTCAATTCACAATCGATCATTAAGAGTAACAATCGCCCACTGCCTCGCAAATTGGAACCTAATGGATTGTACACCAAGTAAGGATGAAAGTGAAGAAATATAAATGAGATGGATAAACAATTAAATGGTTTAATTGAGAATGGTCAAGATAAATTAATTAGTTAATTAATTTTACGAAAGGTTCGTATTGGGCTTTTAAGTTAGTTTTGGGCTTCGGGGTCCAAAAGGGTTTGGTCCACTAGGCCCATTATGTTTAAGTTGTATGACAACTAAAACAAATATGGGCAAATAGCCCAATCACTTAAGATGGCCGGCCATAGCAAGGGTAGTGGGAAGTTTTGCTTAATTGCAAGTTTGCCACTCACCTAAGAAAAGAGATATAAAAGCATCTTTATAGCTTTTACCACATTAGGGTTTTCTTGAGACAAAGATGAGAAACACTTTCTCTCTTTTCTCTAAAAGAGGCCGGCCACTTAGGGAAGAGATAGCAAGCAATCTTTTCTTCTCTAAGTCATCCATTTCATCTTCACACCTCATCCTTGGTGTGGAGACTTAGAGACACCAAATCTTTGGTGTTTTTGGAGATCCTGTCCTCGCACCCTCAAGGAGCAAAGGCGCATCAAAAGGAAGAAAATCACAAGGAAGATCCAAGGAGCTAGGAGGTGACTTGAAGGCCCTCTACTTGGGTGAATCCCTTGTGTAAACAAGGATGAGCTTCAAGGGTAATGAATCTCTAAATCCTTCCTTCTCTTTAATGTTGTTGAAGAGTCTCATGGTTTACCATTCACTAGGCTTTGAAAGTCATGGGTTTTAGAATTGTTTTTTAATGCATGCCTACTTTAATATGTTAATAGTTTGCCTATGTGTTTCAAATATTCTCTCACAGGTTCTTAGCTAGGACAAAATTTTTCATTCAAGTGGTATCAAGAGCCTAGGTCTAGTTTATGGTGAATCCTTTTGGGTTTTGTGTTTTTCATGGTTTGTGATTTAAATGTTGTAAATGTTACAAGCTTTGTTCTTGCTTTTGAATATAAATTTTGCTTGAAAATTTAGCATGTCAATGTTGTAGATGTAGTTCATATAAGCAAGAATATTGGAACTAAAATTTGGTGCCATGTATGTGGGGAGATTCGGCCAAATCCAAAGGGTGGATTTTTGGGTTCATGTTTGTCTTGTTAAAAGAGTTTTAAAGTGACTTTTGGAACCCCTAAGTACCCTAGGATGTT